TAGATTAAATTGTTTATTTTATAAGCAGTTGTAATTTTAATATTGAAAATTGTTTCAAACACTTTTTTATTTAATTGAAATAATTTTATAACTAAATCTATCAATAACATTACATCTTATTTAATTATAACATTTTTAAAATACAAGTTTTACTTATATCATTCTTAAAACCGTTATTGTTTTATTATTAAAATATTTTATAAAACTAAAATTTATTTACTTTGATTTTTGTTTTATAGTATTTTGAAACAATGACATTCTTTGTTTCTGATTTTACATTAATATTTAAACAAATATCACTTTAAAATTACACAGATTATATAATTGTTTGTATTGTTTTTATCATTGTTTTTTAGTAAATTATACATTTTTTAATTTCTATGAATTTAAATATTTTATAAATTAAAAATTTGGAATTGATTTGTTTATATTATTTATTTTTATAAAAATTTGATTAAAAATCATTAGTTTCTTTATTATGATAAACATTTGGTTATTTATTATATTATTGTTCAAATTTAAATGTTTTTATTAATAATTTTATTAAAACTAGTTTTATTATTCTGTTATAAATGTTAAAGATGTTTTTTATTTAAAATTACTTCCTGTAAACAGTAATAACAACAATCAGATCAAGTCTTTTATTAGTAGTATTTTAATTAAATTTACTAAAACTAAGTTTTTGTTTTTAATTAGAATAATAACTTTATTTTTTAAATGATTAAAAAATAACTAAACTATTGATAATTTAACAAATAATTATATTGATAATTGTTCTAATTAATTAATTTTATTGCTTTAAATATTTTATTATAACATTCTTAAAACCATTTATTACTTTTATACAAACATTAATTTAAAGATTTTATTTTAGTGAAAATTGAAATTATTTTAATGAATATTTAACATAAAAAGATAAAAACATGTCTTTATAAATAAACTATCTATTAATACTACCCTTTTTATCTGATTCTTCTTTAATTTAATGTAATTGTTTTTTGCTATATTAATCATCTTTAATATTTTAATTAAAAACTAAAAAATACTACATTTGAAAGTTGAAATTCGTTAATTAACCGAGTTCAGCTTTTAAAATAAGTTCGATTTTTAACCCTTAATAAAATTAAAAATCATAACATTATTTAATTTTATTAAGGGTTAAAAATCTATTTTACTATTAAATTTTATAAATTATTATAAACGGTTTAGATTTGTAAATTATATTAAGTTTTTAGCTTAAAGTTTGTTTTTTTTTCAAATTGATTTTATAAACATATTTAACAAAATAAATTAGAATGTTTTATAAAAACTGATTAAAATAAATTAGAGTTTTATTAATATTAATTAAAGTTTTATTGATTTATAATCACATTTAATATTATAAATTTTAATATAGTAATATGACATTAAAAGTATAATTCATTGTAAGCTAGTTAAATTTTAGTCAAAAAAAAATAAATTTAGTTATTTGTGGAAACTATTTATTCTATAAAAAAAATTAAACAATTAAATTAATAATGGATAGTGTTAATATAAATGAATATATAAAACAATGAGTTGACAAATTAACAACACTATTAACTAAGTATGATAGACTTAATAAACTGGGTTATTCTACTTATTAAGCTCACAAAAAATTCATATTTTATTATTAAAAAAGATTTTTGTTATTTTTTTAAATAAAAATTTTTGAAAACAATTGTAGGCTTTCAAAGAATTTTTATAAAATTTAAATTTAAAACAACAATCAATATTTTATTTGTTGTAAATTATATTTTTATTTATTAAAAGAAATCTTTTTTTTCTATAAATTTAAAAGATAAATAAAAATTAGACTCCAATGAGTTAGATTGTTGATTAAATAATCTTATTCTTTTAAATAAATTCAATTTTTAGATTATTATAAAAAAAATAAATTCTTTTTAATAAATATATAACATCTTTTCGGATATAGAGTGAAGAGTGGTTAATCTTTTAACATGTTATAAAGTTTATGAATTAAGTAAAATTTTTTTTAAATATTTAAATAAAAAACATTATTTGTTTTTTTTTAAATATTTATCAAACCATATTTTTTACCACTTTCATCACTCTTAAAATCTTTTTTTTCTTCATAATAAAAATCTTCATCAAACTGTAATTTATTTACTTTAGTTATTAACAAAATTTTTATAAATAATAACGATATCTGTCAATCTAAAACAAAAGGGTTTCAAATATATAAAAAGGTAAATAAATTATCAAGGAAAAAAGTTTAATTTTTAAAACTAAAAAGTAACTAAAACAACCTTAACTGATGAGTTTAATAATTTTTATAACATTTTTAATAATGACATTTATTGATTCAGATTGTAACCCCTTTATTTATAACTTCAAATAATAAATTTTGATATTTAATTATATAAAATTAATTGTTTATATTAAAAAATCTTATTATTAAACAAGATTTTGATTTTCAAAAGTATTTAAAATTATATTTAAACAATAATTTATTTTAATATAAATGTATTCTAATAAATATTTAATTATTAATCAATTTAAATAATTTACATTATAGTATTATTAATATTTTAATAAAAAACAATAAAATTAAAGTCGTGTTATTAAGAATTTTAATTTTTTATAAAACTATAGTTTTTATTTATTAATAAAAAAATAATAATATTTGTTAAGATAATCTTTATAAATATAATTAATAAATAAACAACTACCGATATGAAATTCAAATTTTCATGTTAGTTTTTAAAGTTCGATTCTTGATCATTTCACTTTTAAATTATTATGATTTCTTAATTACTTTGTAAAAACAATTTTAATTTTTAATAAAACACACACACACAATTAAATATTTTTAATTAAAAATTTATTTCCTCTTTTTCTTTCTTTTAATCAAAGTGAGTTCATTAAAAGAGTTTAAAAGATTTGAAGTATTAACGGTTAAGTCTTCAATAAGATAGTCGTTATTGTTTAATAAATAACTATCAATATAAGAATTTAAAATAATGTTTGACTCATCTAAACTTTTATAATCATATTCATCTAGAAGATCATTAATTATTTCTTTATCTAAAGTTTCTAATAGTTCTTTAAAAATATTTTTATCATTCATAAATATTTTTAACAACAAAGAATTTTTAAAAAAATTTGAAAACTTTTTTATTTAGTTTTCTTTCTGATCAAATTTATCAATCAGTTCTTCAAATTTAAAGTCTCTCTTATTGATTTTAATGGGGTCTTTATCACTAAATCTTTGATTCTTATTAATCTGTTCATTGAATTTTTTAACCATCACGTGAACTGCTGGGATTGATATAAATAACACTCCATTTTTTGATTTCTTATAAATCAAACTTAAATTTTTTTCTGATTTATTATCATTTTCTTTAAAAGACTTTTCTTTATTAGATTCTTCTTTAATTGATTTACTCTTTGATGATTGATTAGTAATTGAATTACTACTTGATGTCTTGTTTACTGATTTATTAGTATCAGTACTTGATGATTTAGTATTTTTAGAGGTAATTGAACTACTTGATTTAGTTGAATCAGTACTTGAAGAGTCATTACTCTTAGAATTATCTTCAAATGATTCTGATTTAGTTGAATCTTTAGTAGATTCATTCTTAGTAGATTTAGTCTTAATAGACTTAGTTGAATCTTTAATAGATTCATTCTTAGTAGACTTAGTTGAATCTTTAATAGATTCATTCTTAGTAGACTTAGTTGAATCTTTAGTAAATTCACTCTTAGTAGACTTAGTTGAATCTTTG